GTAAATATGGTTGCCACTACGAAAAATAAAGATTTACATACTGCTTTTTACCATAGAATAACTAAATTTGCAAGATTTTTGTACAAACCAAATAATAATCAGTATACTGGTTATTCTAGGATACTGTCTTTTAACGTATTGATTCAATTTACTTTAATATATTAGTTAGATTGACGTATGTCGTTATTAAGGATGTAAAAGGTAAAGTAAAGGTAAAAGTAAAAACACGTTTATTGGTTGACGAACGAAATAAAAACTGATTTGGTTTATTCGAAACGTTGTTATCGTTATCTTATCTTATAAAATTCTTCCTCCTTTATCACCAAAACTAAAACTAGGTTAACTCAAACATTAACACGGAAAACTAAAAGTAGGTTTACCCAAACAAAAAAAAAATCAGAAACTCCAACTAAAAATAGTGAGATATTAAAATTAAGAATTTTACGGAGTTGATTAAAGGGCTAAAAAGAAAGACTAATTAAAATCTTGATCTGGAGTCAGTGCTAAAAGATAATTTTAACGGATACCCTAGAATTTTTTATGAATGAACAGCTCATAAAACAATTTTTGATGACTCTGCACTTTTACTCTCCACGTGCATACAGATTTTTAGGGAAAAAAATGATCTGCCTTATCCCAATAGAATTACTGATTGGATTTCATCTGTAGACTTGCAGTATTCACCTTGGTATTTAGGTGAATTGTTTCAAGTTTTGAAAGAAAAAGAAGCAGATCCCAACTTTTCACTTTGAAAGAATGTTCCTTAATATTTGACTCAATGCACATAAGGAAACAACTGATCTGGGATCGTAAAAACAAAACCTATTCAGGATACGTAAATCTATGAGGTATTTCTGCTTAAGAATCAAATACACAAGCAAAAGAAGCACTTGTCTTCCAGATTGTGTCTTACTCAAGACCGTTCAAATGCCCAGTAGCATACTTTTTTACCAGTGGTATATCAGCAGAGATAATTTCTGAAATGGTGAAAGTGTGTTTAACAAAACTGCATGAAATCGGCAAATACACGTGCTCTAAATTGTCTTGGCTGCTGTTTAGACTCAGCCGAAGTTACATCTTCCTTCAAACATCCATCAGACCAATCATTGAATGTTTATTGCATGCTTGACGCTCGTCACATGCTTAAACTCGCAAGAAACACACTGGCAGAGAGCAAAGTAATTGCTAGTTCTGATGGTGAAATCATTGTCATACATTGTTAAACTCCAAGAGCTACAAGAAATGGAAGGTCTTAAGTTTTGCAATGAAATATCAAAACAACATACACTTCTACAGGAAAAAATGAAAGTCTCTCTGGCAGCACAACCCTCAGTTCAAGTGTTGCCAATGCAATTGTGTTTTTAGATAAATGAGGACATCCAGATTTTTAAAATTCATTTGCTACAGTTTTGTTTATCAAAAACATAGACAAACTATTTGAAATACTAAATTCTAGAAATGCTCTGGGCAAAGGTTACAAACAGCCACTAAGAATTTAAAATTTAGAATACTGCAACAACTCTTTTGAAGAAATTTGTTTTTATTTTAAATCACTTTGTATAAACTGCATCCCAATCCTCTCACACCCAAGAATAACATTTGCATTAAGGTTCATGTCATGTATGCAGAGTGTATTGGGCTTAGCAAGTGAGTTGTTATTAAGAGAAGGAATCCCTTTGAAGTTCTTTCTGACATACAAGTTTAGCCAAGATCACTTCTTCTTCCAAGACGAATTCTTCTTTGCATGTATCAGAGCTAGAGGGGGTTGGAACAACAACCCTAACACCCATCAGTTTCAGAGTTCCTTAAAGTCCTTGTTACTTAAGAATGAAATATCTGCCACAGAAAGTAGCAACATCAATCCTGATGGCACAAATTTAATCTCAATAAAGAAATTCTGTACGCCAAAACGTGACATGAAACCCATATAAGACTCTGAATTAATAGAAGATGGGCTTGAATTAGAAAGTCTGTTTTCCTGCTTAGAATCAAAGCAATTGAGTATCAAAGAAATATTCTATATTATATTTCAGAATTCATCGTTAGGAAAATAATGAAAAAAATGTAACATGCAACGAGTGTTTAGATATGTTACTAACTGGTCTCAGTTTTGATTTAACTGCCCATGGCCATCCAAATTTTAAAATAGATAAATTCAATCATAGAGCTTTTGTAAAAATAATTACTTCATGGGGTCCATCAGAAGAAGGTTTCAAAATTGTGGAATCTTCAGAGAAGGCCTTCAGAGGTGCTACAAGTTGTAGAAAATCCTATCAGTTTCTGATTAATAAAGTCATCAAGAATTTTACAACAAGCTTTGGAAGCCATCACTGCATAGATAGTGTCAGTGAGTTAGAGGACTTGCACGAAACTGTTTTAGTGAAGAAAATTGTAAACATTTTTTTTAAATTTTAGGTCCAAGAGCTTATGTTAAGAAAGTTACTAATGAAGCAACTAAAGAACTAGTGAAGGTGAGAGACAGGGATTGAGACAAAAATTTACCAAACTTGTAACTTTTCAAAATTTGTAAAGTATGTAAGGTAAACACAACCTATGAAGTAAATAGATATTTTGATTAAGAAACAAGGGAGATCTGGAGACTCTAAAAACTTATCGTAGCAGCGTAAAAGAGCAAGGTTGAATAGTTTTTGTTTTATAAAAGCACTTGTTATGGATCTTATTTATTCATTTGGAACAAATGTGTTTTACAAAGTACTAACTTAAAAGCAGGATGATTTGGATCTTTTCCAATATGAAACGTATTAAATTAATGTAAAACTAACAGTCATAGTAAATCAACTGTACTTTTATTTTACTAACTTATATATAAACTAAGCCTAATTGCTCTAATCTGTTAAGTAATAATACAAATTTATAATTTCATGATTCTTACACAACATGAACTAACAATTCAACTGATGCCCACTTGTAACAAGGCACATGACATGGTTTTAACTATTTATATTGCCCAAATGGTTTTAAAAATAATTGCTTGGAACTTATATACAGTAGCTTCATCCCAACTCCTGATGTCCTAACTTTACTTTAAAACATTGCTTTCTTTTTGCGCAGTTCATTTAATGGACTAGCTATACTTGCGTAATCTTTTACATACTTTGAAAAGAACTGAATCATTCCAATAAATTTTTGTGTGCACTTGTTTCACATGTGTAGGTCTCGGATAGTTACGAATTGCCGTTGTTCTGTCTGGGTCTATAGTAACACTATTTTTACTTATCAGATTTCCCAAAAAACTAATTTCCTTATAAAAGAACTTTACTTTGGAAGGATTTAGCTGAAATTGTAGGAGGTGGAAATTGAAGATTTTCTAAGATCTCAGATGTATGAAAATGGACTAATTTCGAATACAGAGTGGTGAAAAATAATGTAGCCATTGTTAAGAACGTATAACAATTGTGTCATCTTTTTCATATTTTTTTGTAGTTTCTTTATTGTTCGTTATGTTTTTTCAGTAGTGACTGATGAGCATTTCATCTGATTAAGACATCTCTAGGGTATCTACAATATTAAAACGAAATGTCATGATGCCGTGACGTCGCAATACCACTCAAAAGTGTCTCACAAATATTGTACGGTGACATTTACTTTTAATATTGTATACTCTGAAGACGTCTCAGGAGGCGAAATGTACATCAGTGACAACAATACACAATCTAGAACAACAAGACGACTAAATAATAGTTTACTTTAAACCTCTCTTGACGGTGTCACATTTATTAATATTAACGTTACTCACGTTTTGTAATTCATTCTGCCAAATTAAAAACGAAAAACACGAGTAAAATAGGGAAAATTAAGTGAACCAGCCAAGGAAATATCTTATGTGGAAAATTGCTATTAGGTGAACGTGTAATTGATGAAAATGGGCTACAAATCTGATTATTAGTTTATATTATTAGTTTACTATCAGTTACCCACCGCGCGTTTCTGCGCTAACAACTATTATCTTAAATGGTAATTTGTCCTTTACGAAAACTAATAAAAATTTATTCTAAAAACAAAAATATAATTTTTATTTTACTTAATTACTAGTGGATAAACAATGTTTTTTGGTTTTTTCATTAGGTGTATAAATATACCGGGTGTCCAAAACCACCCGTACACCCCTTTCAAAACGATGGAAACCTTTTCTTACAAACAAAAAATAATACAGAACTAGCTAATTGGGCACGGTCTACCAAATGGTGATAATTTCAAATCAAAATTAACACCGGAAGTGGCTATTTCAGACCGGAAGTAGACTTTTTTAAATGTAAACTACCAATTTTGATTGCAGAATTGAATTCTACGTTGAAAAACACATAACTTTTGTCTAAAACATTTTTTGAAAAAAATTATTTTCTACCTCTAATCTCCCATTAAAGTCAATAATTTTTGGTCATTCATGTGTCAAAGTTACTCGAAACAATGATAGAGAAAAACAAATAACAAAGATTACATAAAGACATATGATGAATAGAATCAGCTGTTTATTTTAAACACCTTAGCAATTGAGTAACAGCTGGTCTACACATTGCTAAGTTTAATTTTTTTTTATAATTTATTTTTACATTTGACCCCTTAAGGCCTAAATGTAAAAACAAATGATTTATTTTTAAAATAAAATGAAATTAAGCAATGTGTAGCAATTTAAGCAATTATTGTTTCGAGTAACTTTGACACATGAATGACCAAAAATTGAATCAGTTATTTATGAAAGGGCTCATGTCATTTTTTTTTACAAATTGGCTTTTGGTCGAAAATCAATAAAACATACATATCTGCATATTTATTTATGAACGGGCTCTTGTCAAACCTGTTGTAATGCACATTGAAGCCAGCTGAAATCTGTAATTGTTTATGAAACGGCTCATGTCAGAGACAGGAGCCCTTTCATGAACAAAGTTAGGTTGGCAGCGCATGCGCATTGGAAGTTTTTTCCTGTCAGCTGAGCTTCTGCTGGGCTTGTTTTTCTTACTTTTCTACTGCACCATTCTATTCTAAGAGAGTTGAGGTTAGAGGTTATGTTTGTTTGGTATTCAAGCTACTTTATACTCGTTTAGCCTACTCAAGTGCTTTTTTTAAAATGTTAGAAAGTGAAAGTCCTGACGACGAAGGCCTAGGTAAAGAAACAAATAAACGAAAAAGAGGTGTACGAAATATTGAAAAATATAAAGTGAATGTTATTAAAAAGGCCAGAATTCGAGGAGATGAATACGTCAACTACAAAGGAAATGTTACAGAAGCACGTACAACTGGAATACCATGCACGTATGTTGAATGTTTATCTATGCTTTACACTAAGTTACCAACATTCCTAACTTAGAAACAAAGTCAAATCACCTTTCAATTTTTATTATGTTGTTTCCTAAGAATTAGGTTATGTCTTTATTTGATTATTTTGTTGGAAAAACTTTAGGCCTACACATTTTTTATTTTCTCTAATACATAGTAGCCTAGAGACCAAAGTTTGTTAAAAATGTAGTCACCAATTCATCTCTAAACCGAAAAGACCTTAAGACGTTAAGGCCTGATACATTCTAATTTTTTTAGGTGCAGAATGAAATGTTTTGAACGTATAACTGAAGAGGATCAATTAGATATTCTAAATAGAGGAGGAAGCTTTCAAAACAAAGATGAACAAGATTTATTTTATCAGTCATTAATAGAAGCCCATCCTGTTAAAACTAGAAGATCAAGAGTTACTACACAAACTGAAGAAGAACCTAAGCCTAAGCATTCTGTTGCACATGAAAGTTCTTTTACCTTTCATGTACTGGTTGGTGAAAAAAGAACTAAAGTTTGCAAAAAGGCTTTTTTGAGTTTGTATGGAATAGGCGATAAAAAGGTTAGAAGACTTAAAAATTTACTTTTAAAAGGTAAGTCGCCTAGAGACTTAAGAGGACAGCAGATGAATAGGAAAACGTTTCCTAAAGATTATACGGATCAAATAAAAAAGCACATTGAGTCCTTCCCTTTAAAAATAAGTCACTACTCATCTAAGGAAATTAAGTACTTAGATGCCAACCTTGATATCAAGAAAATGTACAATCTGTTCTTAGACAAATTTGAGGGAAGCGATGTAGTTTATAGCTACTATTATAAAGTATTTAAAGAGCATTTTAACTATCGGTTTGGAAGGCCCCAGATTGACACATGCTGTGAGTGTGAAATGCTTAATACTCGCATTAAAAACCCTCAACTAAATGAGACTGCTAAACGAGTAGCTGAAGCACAGCTATTAGTTCACAAGAAGCGTAGTAACAAATTTTATAAATCAATTAGTGAGACCAAAGATTACTGCGCCTCACACAAAAACGCTTTACTTTTATGTTTTGACTACTGTGCTAACATATCTTTGCCAACCCTTCCAGTTCAGGACGTGTATTACCTCAGACAGTTGTCAGTTTACCCATTCGCTATTCACAATAGCAATAATGACTCAGCAACTTTTTACCTATACCATCAAGGTGTTGCTGCTAAAGGTTGCAATGAAGTTTGCTCTTTCATACAAAAATACATTAATGACAATGTACCTGCAAATGTTGATGAATTGTACCTATACAGTGATAACTGCACAGGTCAAAACAAAAACCACACCATGATCAGGTTTTTGCAATATCTCATAGACAGTGGAAGATTTAAAAAAATTGTGTATCGACTTCCAATAAGAGGACACTCGTACCTGCCATGTGATAGGGTATTCGGCGTTGTAAAAAGAAAATTAAGAAGATGCGATCGCTACTATACCGTAAAAGAGGTAACGGAAATGATAATAAGTGCTTCAGTACAAGGGAAGTTTACGGTGGACTTGGTAGACAAAGATGACATTTTGGATTTCCAAAAGTGGTGGCCCAACTTTTATAAAAAAAGCACTTTCTCAGAGGAAACCAAAACTGAAAAGAGGGGGAAAAGGGAGTATTTTACCATAACTTCTTATCATGAGTTTTCTTTTCACCATTCCAAGAAAGGTCAAGTGGTTGTTTCGGATTTTATTGGTGGATTTCCTTCAAAGACCTTTAATCTTGCTAACCAATCAAATCAACAGGTTGAAATTTCACCTCCCACTGACATTCTGTATAAAGAAAAAGTTCCTATACCAAAGAAGAAAATGGATGACATCAAGAAGCTTGTCCAATACGTTCCTCAAGAACACCTAGCCTTTTACCATGAGCTTGTTTGTTGGCCAACAATTGAGAAAGACAGTTAAATAAGACTTTTTCTAACTCGATTCTATTTTAACTCATTATGAAATGTAATAATGTGTGTTTTTTTTACCAAAAATAAATTTGTATTTTAGTCACGCTTGAAAATAAAAAATGGGTTTTATGTTTTCAAACCTTTTTTTATGAAAGGGCTCATGTCAGTAGTTTTTAAAAATTTGTATAAAAATTAAATATAACATTAAAGTTACAAAAACCAAATTCTAATATTTTAAAGGATTAATATATCTAAAATAGCAAAAAAACTGAAACTAAGTATTGTAACTTAGCAACCAAACAGTTTTTCTTGATTTCCCAAAAATTTGGTTTCAATGACAACAGCCCTTTCATAAATAACTGATTCAATTATTGAGTTTAATGGGGGATTAGAGGTAGAAAACAATTTTTTTCAAAAAATGTTATAGACAAAAGTTATGTGTTTTTCAACGAAGAATCCGATTCTGTAATCAAAATTGGTAGTTTACATTAAAAAAAGTCCACTTCCGGTCTGAAAAAGCCACTTCCGGTGTGATTTTGGATTTGAAATTATCACCATTTGGTAGACCGTGCCCAATTTAGCTAGTTCTGTATTATTTTTTGTTTGTAAGAAATGGTTTCCATCGTTTTGAAAGGGGTGTACGGGTGGTTTTGGACACCCGGTATAAGTTTTAAGGCGTACCTACCACCACGTGAGCACGCATTATACAGCTTTCCGTGTGAAAAGTGTGCATTTTCTAAATCTAAACCGGCTATAGTCAGGAATGGCCCTTATCGATCCAAATTATGACTAATACAGAATGTTGTGATTATTCGTACCTACAATACAGTTGATGAAAGTAAACATCTGCTTTTAAATTATATTTATTTGTAAACATTGTAGTTCCAAAACTCTGACAAAGAACTCCATAAAACCTTCTGGGGCAGAGCCCTTTTGACGGATCTGCACCAAACTTCACACAAACCTGGTAATTCCTGTTAAAGGGAACATTCATTATTTTCAAATTGAAATAAAACATTAAACATTATGAAATAATTATTAAATGGGGCAGCAAGTTTGGTTCGTTATGTTAGGTTAGCTCCCATATTATATTTGAGCCTGAACAAGATAAGTTCATTAATAATAATAATAATAATAAGATAAGTTGTCAATTTGCAACTCAAACGTGTTTGAATATATTAAAACAGAAAGAATATGGATGGTAAAGGGAAAAATCCATACATTGAAAAAATCTATACATTATTAAATGTTTATCGAAATTTACATCTTAACCTAGTTTAAGCAACATACTCTGTATGAAGTCTTTAGTTATAGGTACGTGAAATAGTTCAATGTTCAACAATGAACACTCTGATGATGAACATATCGCGTGCTGAGCTGTATTGGCTGATGATGTATTGTTCAGCACAAAGAGAGCATCAGACACCCTGACTACTTGCTTCAACTAGTAAACAATGGTAGAGTAGTAATTACCCCTGTGATAGAAAACCTACAGCTTAAACTGTTCTAATTGTTTTATGTAGTTTTATTCAAATTGATTGACAAAATAAGTTAATTTATGGGATTGTTTCTGAAGTCGTCAAGGTATAGTTTGTTTCATTAAAATCCCAAAGTAGTTTACAATAAAATGAGAATAAATTACTGATAGCATTGGCAAGAAAATATGCTTAACAATCTCTGACAACGAACCAACCATTAAAGACAACCTTTTAAGAGATTTGCCGCGTTATTGAAGGAGAAATTCATCAGTTAAGTCAAATATTTAACTTTAAGAGTAATTTTGCAATTAATACTCAGTAGGCCGTTGCTCTTTCCTTGACGCCTTTAAATAATGAAATTTTAGAGTCTACTATCTTAATTTCGTTTGAATCTAAGAGGCACAGACATTGAATTAATCTTTAACATAGGAGGTAAAATTTTGTTCACAACTAATACAAGGATATCATGAATACAATGAGACAAAGATATTGATTCATTTAATTTAGGCCGTAGTCCATTGACCCATTGGTAGGAATAAATTCGATTTAGACGCCGGACGAGAGGGCAAGTTTTTAGAAATGTATGTTTACAATCGTAAGGTGTAATGACTCAAAAATAAAATATTAGTAAAAAAAAGAAAATTCACAACATGAATGTAATTTATAATCAAAATTTATTCATTTTCTTATAAACATTATCATCCATATCAAGCTATGCATTCGACAAACCATGTATCTGGGGTCAAGATATAAATAAAATTAACACATGTTTTTAAGTATAAGAACCCCATAAAATGATGAAGAGATGATTAACAACAACGAACAGTGTGGTAAATGTTCCAAGAAGAACAGAGCAATGTAATTATTATAGTTGTGCTAAACTAAATTGTGAGATTTAAATTATATTATAAAGTAAAGTGTTATTTATATGATATTGGACGCAATATTGAAGAAAAAAGAATTACATAACTCTGAGGTGAGGACAAATTACTTATAGAAGATTTGTGAGAACTTTCCATTTCATTATTACTTCAACTAAAACTATAGACTCCTTCAGCATCCATTTTAGACTACCTCGATTTAATCAAAAGTCAACCAAAGAAAAGAAAACTTAATCAAAATCTTACTTAATCATTGGTTCCCACTATTATTTAATTTACAATTTATTTAGTTTTATAACGCCTAATGTAAATCTTATGATTTAACAGTCCACACGAATCTCCACCACTGAGAAATTTAGTAACCTTAGTTTTAATAACTTTTAATGTCCCATTAAACATTGTATTTATAAAACATCTGTATTTCACCATTACTGTTATTTAGTTAATATTATAATGATTATAAAAATAACAAATACATAGGTTTATTTCTTGGGATTCCGTTGATATATTTTATAAATTAATATATCCCTCCGGACTTAAAGCGTTCACCCGACGCATTTTTTTAAGCAGTTAGGTTCTGTATTTTTCTTTAGTGTTTGATCATGTTATTCGAATACCTCTGATAGCTTATCATTGTGAGTTTTTCATACATTCAGAAGAGAATCATTTAAAAAGAAATTGAGCAGTTAAAAAATTAACTTAATTATTTTTTGGCTACAGTTTATTTAATCGAAAAAAAAGCATCTAGGTTTTACATTGCAGCGGGATTCAAATAAAATTTGGAAAATTACAATATAGTATTTAATAAAAAAATTCAAACCTTACTAAAAATTTTAAGTTTAATAATATTAGACAATGAATTTATTTAGCGGTTTACAAGGATAAACGAAAATAAACATAACTGGAATTATAACAGATTTATTTATTTCATTATGAAATTTAATTTACTCGGTTAGCATTAGCACAAATATATACAGTATAGTTTGCTTTACAAACAACATTAACGCACATTAATTAACATTAAAATAATAGCCACGAACAACAATTATTATAAACATAATACACCGTTGGTAATGTAAAAGTTCTGAATTATGTTTCCTGTTATTATGCAAAATAATTCATAGAACTTGATAATACTGGAAAATACTAAACTAAATAAATAAACAAGGCAAATAAATTTCTTTGAATTAAGTTCCTAACTTTAGGCCGCCTAAAGAAGTTGTAACGAACTTCGTCCAAAAATTTTCTTGCTACATAAATTACCCGATTAAAACAGGAAAAGACTAATAATAACAAAATGAGGCAAATACACTTCTTAGAATTGAATTTCTAACTTTTGGCCGCTTCAAGAAGTTGTTAACTTTAAACAAACTTTGTACAAAAAGTGTCTTGCGACATAAATTATTTGTACGCTACGTTTTAAAGGTCGCTCAAAGTACAAAACTATTATAGCATTATTTAATTACAGTTGCATTTGGGTTTTTTCCGGACAAGTTTAAATATATGTTTCATATAGAATAACGGTATTTTAAGGGTCAGCATGTTTAACTAATAGATGCGTGATAAGAAAACGACAAACTCATTTTACTAAAGGTATGTTAAGTGTGTTGATATGTTGTCAGTATAGAACACTTAATACAAAATAGTGTAGATAAACGAAATATTTAACTGCAATTGAAATATGTGAAACTGCTGAAAATGTATAAGTGCAAATATCCTTTGAGAATATTCTAATACTGTTACGTGTGTGCTAACTATTTACTCGCTTCAGTATTGCACAAACTTAGTCTTTCAGTCCATGGACCAATAATGTCACTTAACTGTCAACACAAGTTTCGAAGTGGATTAGGGAGTTTTGTCACCTCCGTTTAAAACTGTAATCTATGTTGACGTTGGAATTTTGATTTAGAGATTGATTGAGAAGACGTGGCATATTTTGAATTTATGAATTGTAGTTTTCAAGACTAAAAACTCAAAATCACACGATTTATTTTATACGTTAAATTGTAATAATACCTATATTCAAAATACTCCAGTGTTTTATTGACAAATATAAAACTAATTTCAGCCAAAGATGGCCTGGTAACCATTAGTAAATCACAATATCATAATATTTCAAAGCTAATAACCTTTGAGAACAACCATTACATATTTAAAAAATATACATAACCATCTACAAACACGCTGGGAAATTCAATTGGACGAGACGATAGTAATTTACAAATTACTGTTTATAATTTTCTTGAACACAGAAGTAATTACTTGAAAGGAATATATTAGTTTCTCTCCTACTTCACAACTCTAAGGAGTAGAATGTCATGCAAAAATGCCAATTTCAATTACATTAAAGGCATTATAAACTGTTCACCTGAAGACGGGACCAGATTCCATATACTGTATTGTCGTGTAAACCATTTTTTTACTAATCGTGGTAGAAACTGTCCACAATCATCCCTTAAATGACAAAAACTCACCAAAGCAACAAATTTCACAAACAACGGGATTCATTTTCTGACGTATTTTACTGTTAATTCCTATTTTTCCCTTTCGTCCTTTCTATCTGAGAGACTCTGCGTTTTTGAGGTTTAGAGTCACAGTTTTTGCACTTTTAAACAACAAATATGAAAACAATTGCAATGTAAAACTTACGGATCATAAATCTTATTTTGTTTTTTGCTAAATATTATAACCGGTATTTTTTATAAAATAAGGTTTGGTTGAATTATAGTAAGACATGATACAC